AAATTTTTTATAATCAATTTTTTTAAAAAAAAATTTAATAAAAAAATTTTAATTATGAAAAATTTTATTAAGATAAGTTATTAAATACTTTCAAGTAAACTTTTTTCCTAAATTATCAAGTATATATATTTAAAATTTTATATGAATTAAATAAATATTCATTAAATATAAACAAAAATAACAATTATAATTTTTTTTGTAATATACTATATGTTATTCAAAAATGATTAATATTAAATAATAAAAAATAATAAATTTGAGTCAATTAGTATATTTTTTCTAATATTCTACAGTCAAATTAGAGAAATTTCAAGATATATTTTTGCTATTATAAAAGAAATGATCTTTATTATCAAATTTAGAAATCTCTCTAACTGTATTATGCTAAATATATATATAAATCTTTATTTATTCTATTAAAAACAAACTAGTTCTAGAAAAATACCTCATTATAAGCTATCTTTATTAAAATAAAACTATATTAAAATGAATTTTACTATATATATCACTTTCTAAACAAATATAATAAATTAGAAAATAAAAACTTATTATACTTAAGAAGATTACTAGTCTTAAATAATCATAAAAAGAATTTACTTATATGTAAAACTAGCAAAAAATAATATGTATCACTATATGAAATAGTTAATAATTTAAATCTTACTTATAATTTATCAATTATCACAAATATATTACATAACTTCAGATTTTATTCACATATTATAGCAAAGAAATCTTATATTTTGAAAATATATACATATGCTTATATTAAATAGTATAAAAAAATAAAAATAAATTAGCTTATTAATAATAATTAATAAAATATAATATGTGCTTATTTTTGGATATGCTTATTCTTAAAAAATCTATATTTGAAAACTAAAAACCATTTGTATTTATTTTTGAGAGATGCTTATTTTGGAACAAATATGACTATAAAGTATTATATAATATTATATAATAAATAATATATTTCAAAAGTATATAAGAATTAAAGGCTTTTGCTAAGAATAATAAACCAAGTGCTTTATTTATATTAGAAATCTATAGACATATAATTAAGATGTAAAGATACTCATGGGATTTCTGCCTTGCTTAACTAATTTTTATACATATATCTTTGCAAAAAGTCTCACTTTAAGAACACAGAGCTCAAGTCGTTTTCAATTCTTTGTCAAAGAAAACATGAGCAATAATGAATATCAAGATAGGGTTACTCGAAAGCGTACTCGGGAACATTTGAAAATTGAATTTGAACAAAAAATTAAAACTTCGTCTCCTAGTAATTTGAGTGAGGCCAGGATTAAAGACGAAGTTGATAGTTACGAAATTTTTTATGATACAACGAAGACCGCCAATGGTAGTGAAAGTAATGGTGAAATTGTTACTAATGAAACAGTTGAAATGTCAAGTCCTAAAAAAACACGCATAAAAAAGGAAGTTAAATTTGAAGGGCCACCTGCCAACTGGGATCAAGTTTACCAGAGTATAAAAGAATATCGATTAGGAATTAATGCACCTGTTGATACAATGGGATGTGCAAGATTAGCTGAACAAGCTAATGAAGTAGTTACTCCACAAGTAAATACTAACATTGTATAATCAAATATCTTAAAAAAGATTAATTGCAACTTACTTTCTTTAGACTTCGAGATTTCAAACTCTTGTAGCTTTGATGCTTTCATCCCAAACAAAAGATCAGGCAACGGCAGACGCAGTAAATAATCTACGACAAAAATTGCTAGGTGGACTAAATATACAAAGTGTAATTGATACTGATGAACGGATTTTGGATGAATGTATTTCTAAAGTTGGATTTCATAAAACAAAAGCAAAGTATGGCTTATATCTTCTTTTTTTATTTTAGAATAACGATTAATTTTTTTGTATTGAACTCAATTTAGATGGATTAAACAAGCTGCTATTACGTGCAAAGAGAAATATAATGGTGATATACCAAACAATATTGAAGATTTGATGAAGTTAAAAGGAGTTGGTCCTAAAATGGTAATAACTTTAAAATAATTTTATTACGCATTTTTTTGATTAAATATTATGTCTTTATCTTTAATGTGTTATTACTGTCATTCATAGGCTTATTTATGCATGCAATGCGCTTGGAATATGTGAGATCTAAATGATATTGTCATTGAAAAATTACCGGGATTTCTAATTTATATTCATTTTTCTTTGGGACTCAAATTTTCTTTCACCATCTCAAATTACAAATTGAATACTTTTGATTTGTAATAGAAATCAAGGAATCGGAGTTGATGTCCATGTTCACCGCATTACCAATCGACTTGGGTGGTGCAAAACTAAAAACCCAGAAGCGACTCGCAAGGTTTGACGAATTATTTTCAATTTATTCAAATTCTTTATTATATTATTAAAAAGTTATCTTTAATTATGACATCTTATTATTATGATCAAAAATTTTTATATTGATAATATCATATTAATAAGAATGAACTATATATTAATAAGAATGCTTTAAGTTAAAATTATATAGAAGACTATTATTTTTTCAAACTTAATTTAGATATATCTGAATTAATACTTAATTATTTATCTTTTTTACATAAAATACTACTTATAATTTCTTTATCTATATTAAATTCACAAGCCAATTCAATACTAGTAATTTTTAAATTTATTTATTTTTTAGATATAACTTCTTTTTTATTTACTTATTAATATATTATATTTTAAATTTTGCTTTTTTATATTTTAAATTTTCTGATATTATTTTAAAAATTAAAGAATTAGAAAGATCTTTCATTACTTTCTTAAAGATAATATGTTATTATAGACTAATATTTATAATATATATCTATCTGTTTATAATAAATTTATAATAATACAATTTTTTATAATAAATTTTAGTTTATTTATAATAAAAATCTTTATTATAATTAATTAGTAATATATTATATTATTCTGACAAATCTTTATTATAAATATTATAATCAGATTTCTTAATATAATTCATTATAATCAGTCAGATATTCAAAAATAATTAGCTTATGAAAAATTTTTATTATAAATAAATTTTTCACTATAATCAAATTTAATTATATAAAATTTAATTAAAATTAATATAAAAATTATATAATTACTAAACTTTGAATCTTAATATCTTTATGACTACTAATTTAATTTTAT